CATACTTAAAACACAAAAAAAAAAAACCCATAATTAATAACTAGATTAAAGCACTTCCTACAACAACGAAACCAAACCGAACCAAGACGAAGCCGACTCCCACGAGCAATCACCCACAAAAATAGAGACTCGGTCGAAGTCGCAAAACCAAAAACTGCAAAATACTCGCCTAACTAGATTCGAGGTTTGAAAACCTTGCTCTGCCCAGATAGACAACCCATAGCCCTGGAACCGGAGATTCCCAACAAGCTCCACCATCTTAGCCCCGACGACCCGTACCCGGGACCTGACCCCGACTCAACTCCGCCCAACCAACCGGACAGCATGACCCAAAACTTCATTTCCTATGTTTTTTTTTTTTTTTTTAAAGTTATAAATTCAATGAAAGTTCATATGCCAAAAAATTGTTATCCCCAATTAAAATGTTTTTACATTGTTCTTTTTTTTTCATTAATTTAAATTTGTGAAGTACCTTTCATAGCCTGCTAAGCCTATATTTCATATTTGTTGTCCGCATTTAAGTAAAATTTGTCGCCTTTCCCTCCGAAATTCCTATCTACAAATTTAGAAATTTTGGGTGACAAGAAAGGCCCATCAACAAGCTATTGTACGAATAGTTATTGGCATCCCCTACCACCTTAATATGTTCGAATTGGACCGTTGGATGTGAAAACTGAATCCTATGGCTTGGATTACTTCATTTCCAGTGACCAAGCAAGTCATTTCACTTATGACGACCGTGTAAACGAGCTGAGTTCGAGTTTAGGGTGTTCGAATTGGAGCTCAAGCCCTTAACGAGCCGAGCTGAGTTGGGTCATTTATTTTTATAATGAGCCGAGTTTGAGCATTAATGAGTCAATCTCGAACTTTTACAAGTTGAACTATAGTAAATTATATAAAATTATCTTTTTGAGCTTTATCGAGCTGAGCCAAACTCAGCTCGTTAACCAAACAAGTTTTAAATGAACTCGAGCCATTTCGATCTAAGTCGAGTCAGACTCGTTTAATTTAATAACACTACTTATAACAATGACAACATAAGAGAGGAGGGAAAAAGAAGTTAATGATCATTCACATTTTTATTTATTTTTATCTTTTTTTAGAATACTCAACTTTGATGGGAAAACCCCAAAATAAAAATACAAGACCCTATTCAAACAATTATTATTGTCAATTACCAAAATCTGCCAAAATAATAATAATAATAATAATAATAATAATATATAATAAATAAAATAAAGTGAATGAATTATGCAATTAAATCAATTACACAATGATAGAATACATCAAACTTTTTTTTTGCCCTGTAAAAACGTCTTCAAAACTTTTCAATTTCCAAAACAATTAACACTAACTACACTATAATATTTAACATTAACCTTTTGATCATCCCTAGCTATTAGTTTTCGATTAAATCTTGGACGAAAAAGTAATTAAATTCCAATATTATTACAAATCAGTCCTTTTTCTCCTCGGAATCCCACTTGTCGTCCATGGCCGAGAAGATCAAGTCCATGCTGTTGCTGCTGCTGCTCCCGGAGTTGAACATCGCGTCCGCCATGTCCGCCACCGCCAGCTGGTAGTCGGGGAACCTTCCGGTGGAGGTTCCGGCGCCGGCGCCGCCGAGGTCGTGGAGGAGCTGCATCGAGAGCCAGTGGGCGGTGGGGAGCGACTGGGGAGGTGGCGGGGGGGCCGTGGCCGGCGGCGGCAGCGGCGGCACGGTGGCGGAGGGGGCGGAGGAGGACACGTGGCAAGTGTGGGAGCAACGGTAGGTGACCTCGAAGGTGAAGGGGTCGTCCTCCAGGCGCTGGACCTGTTTTTTGGCCGGGCAGCCGTACAGTTTCTGGTGGGTACACCTGTAATAGCTCCTGTGCGTGCGTGTCACATATTTAATTGTTAATATTGTTAGATGTGAAATATAATAATGGTATTATTGTCCTTGAAAATTAAAATTGAAAAGCGTATGAGGCCCTTTGACGCTTTCAGGTCATGAGACATTTTCAAGTTTGAACCATTATTACAGTTACAAGAATTAAGGACGAAAATTTGGAAATGTGTATAAAATATGGTCAATCAATGGAAAACGTGTGCAATTATGAGATACTTTATTAATATTATAAGAAAATCATGAAATACATTCATTATTATTAATATTATTATAGGATAGTCAATTAATTTGTACCTTGGATACGTGGACCCAAGAATCTCCTTTTGACCATATTTTCGCCAAGTAAAGCCATCTTCAGGAGGAAGATCAAGGTTTCCCATCTGAGGAGCAGGCACCTTCTTCACTATCTTCTGACCTTCATCTTTTCTGATATATTGGTAATCAAATAAATTATAGGTTAGTTTCTTCGATTATGCGACAATTTTTTCGATAAATTACTGTTGGTATGGCTTATATATTGACAAAAGAAGGAGGCAGGCTGATGTATTGAGATATATTCATAATAAAAGGATATCGTTCTGCCGTCGTGGATGTAAGCACATTGGCGAACCACGTAAATCCTGTGTTGTTTACTTTCTCGTTTTTAATTCGCATGTCATATTGTCATCTTTTCACAACAATTACATTGCAATTGATATTCGAGTCACGCGTAAGCATTATGATATGCATGAAACCTATGGTAAATTAGAATGGTGTTAGCAGACTTACTGGTAAGACACTCAATAAATAAACTGAATAGTCATAATTGAAAAACAAGTAATTTTTTTCTTTTATTATTAAGTTACGAGTGCTACGTACACAAATGTGACATGCATTGTGACATGCATAAATTCACCTAACATTAGCAAAGTTGAGAAAAAAAAAAATCACCCTCTTAAAATTAACAAATATTCATTCGAAAGATTTCGTATTATGTACGTAGTTTTTTTTTTTAAAAAAAAAAAAAAAAAATTAAATAAAATAATCCTACCAAACAAGCAAAAATGAAACTTCTTGGGTTAGAACTTAGAAGCCATGGAAAAGTAATTGAGTTCAGACACACGAAGCACAAAATATTCACTTGAACAAATTTAAAAATAAAAAATAAAAAAATGAACTACTAATTAACCCAACTTCTAGGAAACTCAATGCTTTGATGATTCCATTTTTAACTACCTTAGACCCTACATGCATACAAAAACAAAACCAAAAAATCAATACATAAAATAAGACAAAACAAAGCTAGGAAAAATATGAACATGCCCACGATTTTACACGAAAAAAAAATAAAAAAAAAATAGCCTTCTCACCTCATTATCGGCCTCCGTGAACCCGAAACTCTGCTGAAATCCGGTGCATTACTCGCTGCGGGTTTTATTTCCCCGCTAGACCCCACCACCGTAAGCTGCAAGCCGCCCGGCGGCCGATTCTTGCCACCAACGTCCTCTGCAGTTGACGGTGCTCGGAGAAAATCCATCGGCTCACGAGAGGCGCCGGCGCCGCCGCCGGTCCTCAGCCAATCCTGGATTACCGAGCCGATGTGATAATCGTCAAGCCTTTGCATCTCGTGGGGCCCGCCAGCCACGAAGCTCGTTTGGCCCGACCGGGAGAAAACGGCTAACCTATCTCGAACGCTGCTAAAAACCCTAATGATTTCGTCGCAAGAAACGAGGAGGCTTTCGGGTTGGGTCGACAGCACGGTTAGGTTGTTTTCGAGGTTTTTCGCCAACTTGCAACCATACAACAATAATGCTAGGTTTTCATCCATGTTTTTTTTTTTGAGGGGTTCTTTTAAAGGTAGTATTAGTTAATTATGTCTGCCTAATGGTGGTATGTATGTGTTGGATATAAATAAACATGAAACATGGGAAGAAGGAATTGTGTGAAAATCAATGTTCAAAGTACACACAAGTATGGATGTGTTGATCAAACACGGTGAGTAGAAGAAAGGTTGAGACACTTTAAACATAATAAATATGACTAAGTCATTGGTCTATGAGAAGACTTGGCCTCGTTGAAAATTGAAATATATGGTGTTTGAGTGGACCAGGTTGAAATTTTCCCAAAGTTTGAAACAAATAATGTGTAAGAATTAAGGTGAAAACAAAAATAATTAACATTTCACTATCTTTTCTTGGTGATTTTGGGATTGAATTTAAGATTGTCAGTGGATCAGAATGTTCTATTCTTTGTGTTGGGAGAAAAAAGGTTGATCAAAAACACTTGACTGGGCTAGGCTTTGTTGGACCTTCTGGATTTGGGAATTCTAAAGCCCAAACCTAATTTGGTCCAACCACAAAAAAGTGGTCTAATGATTAATTGTTTATTATATGTACTTCTCTGCTCTGCCACCGTGTTTCCCCTGTTTTTATTTTTCCTTTTCATTTTCTTCTAATGTATTTTTTTTTTTTTTTTT